ATAACCACCCGACATCAAAATAGTGCGTCTGTACCTCCCTTCCCGATGGTTATTGATAAAGCGCGTATACACGAGGATAGTATCATAGTAGTAAGTTGTACATCAGTAACCGTTATAAGCTCTATCTCTACTATTTATGAAAAATCTAAATGCGCCTTTTATACTTATACTAACCTGTAATAAGAAAACGGCGTCAAGTAGGTTGACTCTGCACCTCCCACGCAACGCCCTTAGCAGTGCTTAAAGGAGTATCTTCGGCACAAACCAGACCACCTGATAAAAAAATCAGCCCAACGGGTCTATACCATTAGTCCATACACGTTCTTTCCCTGTCCTACCTGTAGTGCATCTGGAAACGTCGCATCTCCTCTATAGTTGGGCAGACGTGGCACCGTGGTCAAAGCATAGAAAACACTATGCTAATGCGTGTTATTCCATACCACTGATCACGGTCGGCGCTCGATGCCAGCAGCAGCCGCGGCCGGTAGGAACGCGATACATCTCTCGAGAACTTGTTTCTTAGTTTCCAGGTCTAATGTACAAAGACATCTATGACGTGTAAGTGTTTCTAATCGGTGCGTTCAATTACCACTGTTGGGAGCGTATAAATGTACCAGCAACAAAACATTAAGATAAACTCTCCCCACCCCCTTTCAACCCGCACCCTCAAGTGTTTTTAACTCTGAATTTTTCTTTCAACAATGATCAGGATCCTCTCCGAAACGTCAATAAGCGATTTTTACTTTTCTCGTTTTAGATACAAGGTTAATGATGCCAGTACACTTATCAAGACTGGCACACTCTCCGATGAACCGACAGGGCAGGAGCGAGGATGCGTATCGAAAACATTTCTATATTATTCTTTGCTTAAGGGAAAATGTACGGGGGATTCAAGATATGTGAAATATGTCTAATAGGTGCGTCAAATTACCGAGGTTGGGAGCTTATAAATACACAAACATCAAAAGATTGAGATATACCCTCCCCCACCACTACAAACCTTCAATTTTTTTAAATTTTTTCCAAAAAAAATGTATCCTCTGGAACGTCATAAAAAAATTTAGGGTAACACACCTATTCACACCTTACTTTACTCAAGGAATGTCCCTCAGAGCTGTCACGCTTCTTCAATACTGACATTGAAGAACTGGTCCTAAAAATCTGGAATCTGTGGGGCCCGAAACTCGTGCGAAGCTGACGATGGTCACCATCACCTAGTATCACATTCTAGATGAATAGGAGGGGGCTTACTGGAACATCATCATTTGGAGACTGCCTACTCCAGGACATCATCTTAGACCCGTCTCTGCTCAAGAGCGTCCATCGAATTGTCATCAAGTACAAAAATGCTGATCAGCTCCAAAGTATGCATAATTTAAACTGCAATGCTTAATGCTTTCATTCTCAAACACTTAATTCCAATGTCCAGAGGAGGGCGGTCCGACTGATCGATGACTCTTCTCTAACAGACAGTCTCGGGACTCTTTCGCACCGGCGGGCCGTCGGCGATCTAGCTCTTTTCTATCGCTACACCAACGGGCTTTGCTCCTCAGAGCTCTCTGCCATGATGCCGCCGCGCCATGTGCCTGCCAGACAGACCCGCCTGACTTCGGCGTCCCATCCTAACCGTGTCAAACGTCGTACATCCAGAACTGGCCGATACGACCGCTCCTTTGTCCCGAGGGTGTCTAGATTGTGGAACAATCTACGGGAGGAAGCTTTTCCCTGTTCTACTATCCTTAGGCAGTTTAAAAATCGTATTAACAAAATTTCTTTGGGATCATCATAGCAGCCGCGGTGTTCCGGCATTTAGGCTTCTGCCTGCGCGGCTGTTTCGAACTGGATGGAATGTCCCTCAGAGCTGTCACGCTTCTTCAATACTGACATTGAAGAACTGGTCCTAAAAATCTGGAATCTGTGGGGCCCGAAACTCGTGCGAAGCTGACGATGGTCACCATCACCTAGTATCACATTCTAGATGAATAGGAGGGGGCTTACTGGAACATCATCATTTGGAGACTGCCTACTCCAGGACATCATCTTAGACCCGTCTCTGCTCAAGAGCGTCCATCGAATTGTCATCAAGTACAAAAATGCTGATCAGCTCCAAAGTATGCATAATTTAAACTGCAATGCTTAATGCTTTCATTCTCAAACACTTAATTCCAATAAGAAGCATATACAGGGTGGCCCATCCATTAGTGGACGGAATATTACTCATAAACAAATACATTTTGGAAAAATCTATTTATGGCATGTTATAGATGACATTCGAGGGCATATTTCTAAATGATTATCCATTATACAGGGTGTCCTAATTTCAACCTCCATATCAAAGTTGTGGTTTTTCAAATAGAATGCCTCAAATTTTATTGCATATTTGGATAACCCAATTCAAAAGAAGAAAATTGATATGACACACTATGAGGTTTTGGTAATTAGCTACTAAGATATAAGGTGTTTTGTCTAGAAAACCCCCGATTTCGGCAATCCCTCAGTCCTTTATTTTGAAATTTGGAGTGCTGAATTTTGTATAAAAAAAACGTAAGTACCTCAGCTTCTTCTTACTTGCTACTTTTTTGAATTTTAATTTTTACTCATACAGGGTGGTCAAAAACACAAATTGTAGTTTTTCTCAAAAATTTCAAATGCACCACTCTGTATGTTGCAAGTTCGGATTTGATTTTTTATAACCCTTTTTTTCATACTACGTCTTTTATGGAACGGCTTAATTCCCTAAAATATCGCATCATCCTTGGAAACAAATAAATTGTTGATTAGTTACAAACTGTCAAAATTAGCTTTGTGAGCATTATAATAAAAACGTGTTTGAAAATGAATTTTTCTAAAGAAGAAATGGTGAATATGGTGTTCGTTTTGGGCGAAGCCCAAAGAAATAGTTTCCTAGCATCTCGCATTTATGAACAACGGCACCATAATATGCCACATCCAAGGCTGGAAACAATTTCCACACTGCAAGGACGTTTTGAATCAAGTGGACGGTTTTTCTCGACAGAAAACCTTATATCTCAGTAGCTAATTACTAAAACCCCATAGTTTGTTATATCAACCTTCTTCTTTTGAATTGGTTTATCCACATATGCAATACAATTTGAGGCATTCCATTTAAAAAAAACACAACTTTGATATGTAGGTCAAAATTAGGACACCCTGTATAATCGCCAATATTTTAGAAATGTCATGTATAAAATGCCATAAATAGATTTTTCAAAATGTATTTGTTTATGAGTAATATCCCGTCCACACATGGATGGGCCACCCTGTATATATCCTGCCTAGAGTTGCGTCTCTAGGTCTGAACCGTTCCGATTTGACGATTCCTGTGATGCGGCGTGTTCTTCGATTCGTTGACCTTCGAAACCTTTAAATTGACAGAAGTAATAAACGGGCTAAAATAAACTTCTATAATACGATCTAAATAAACAATAAAGTCATAATCATTTAGCTTAGACTGTATAAAAAATACAGGACATTGTTTCATATATAACAAAAAGTAACTGTCAGATTAATTGTTTTAAATTATTAACCAATCATCGGTATTATGAAATAGTTGATGTTGAAGACCCCATAGCGACAATACAGCACAACACTTTGAGCTTCCAGTATTTTAGAAAATCTGATGATCTGAGTTTCTATGGTAAAATAGTGGTATTGAAATCATCAACCTACCGTTTATTTGTAAAAAATCCGTAACGATCCAAATCGATGCGCATCCAGTCCGCCAGTTGAGATGTCAAATGCCAAGTCTATCGGAACAAATAAACAGAACCGTTGGAATGGGCCCGACAGTGGAACGAATAGAGAGGAACCGAATTCTTTAATGGACTGGTGCAGCGCATCACTACTTCTGACACATCTGTACCCTATTTCACGAGTATCCATCATTTGACGTCTACTAACTGAACAGCTAATCAACAAGAGACATTTTTGTGTTAGTCTGCAACGTTGACAATCATGAGTCGGGTATAAATCTAGTAAGACTTATTTGTGGCGTTTTGTTTTTTGTACGCAAATGAACTTTTCTGAATAAGAGAGCTGTTAGCAAGTACAGGATGAATCTGTAGCGTACCAAAAATCAAAACAAAATACGACTATGACCACCCAGCGTTGACGGATCTGTCAGAATTGCGTGTCCTGTGCCGATATGGGGAATTTTGAGATATTACTAGATAATCAGTTGTCATTCTACCGTAATGGATACTCGTGAAATAGGGTATATGACTGTGGTTCGTTTCCATTTGATGTTGCGAGGCGAACGCAACCTCTTTGCAAATTATGCAGCGACAACTGTAAGATTGTGATTTTCCGCGTCATAATCATGACTACCTATTCGTAAAATGAAGGAACCTTGCATCACTGAATTGTATATAGATTCAAATCGATCCAGATCTAGTCTGTAGGTCGAATCGTCAAGTGAAACGTGAGTCCATCAAAACTAACTCATTCCTTGGAGCGGGTCCGACAGTGGAACGAATTGAGACATTAATTCTGACAGTTCTATGACTGTAGTTTCTTTTCGTTTGGCGTTTGGTGTTGCGATGAGAAGGCAAACGCTTTGCAAATTATGCTGCCACAACTGTCAGATTGTGATTTTTAGCGTGACAAGCATGACGATGTATTCGTGAAATGACGAAATACTCCTGAGTTAGGAACCTTGCATTAATGAATTGCATATACAAGTGAATCAGTTATTGGTGAAACCCCACATGTCCAAAAATAACAATCGCGAGAAAAGTTGAAAAAACTGTTATATGCAAAAATACCTCAAATCATCATGATAACAAGTAAAAAAATATGAATTTTGATTGTTTGTTCCAGAGTTTTTTTTGAAAAAATGACAAAAAACTTTTATGTATCTTGAGTAAAAAAATGAAAATCTGGTGGACATGTGGGGTTTCTAAAATAAATACGCAACTTTTTTGAGAAAAAGTTTATTGGACACATTAGCACGAGGTACATTAAAAAAATAGAAGACTCGGTCAATTTTCATCCACATCGTCATCGGTGCCACCAACAGTTGGCCATCCAAATATCTCCCTATAGTTTTCGATTTCTTCACCTTTTTCTACGATTAATTTTTCGAACTTTCTGATGCTTACCATCTTTTTTGCACTAATTGGGACTTTTGAGTTAGGGTATGCGACCACGTCGGGAAAAGTTCTAACAGCAGTAGATGCTCCCAAGCTAAATTCGTGCTTTATTAGGCCATCAATGAAGTCACGAGCAGTCACAAGGCCCTTTTCAGCTAAAGTGCATGAAATTTGAAATCGAAAATGAAATTTTATCTTCTTTTCTAACACCTCTTCCATAATATTCTGTGGACAAAGAATTTTTTTTGTAGTAAAGGGGCCACCATTTCTTATAGACTTTGATCAATGTATTCTCTCCATCCATTACGTATCGGAACATTTATTTTTAGTGCTCGAGTTGAGAATCAAGGAAACATAATCTTTTAGCAGATAAATTCGGTCATTTTTCTTAATTTTTCTCTTCACCATGGCAAAATCCCTGTCACATGGCATGTACGAATGGCCTCTTACTGGGAAGTATTGGTTCACAGTATTGAATCGTCCAAGGTCTGTAAGACCTAAGCACATTCTAAGAACTGAATGGTTTTTATTCTGACCACAGCACCCGTCAGAAAAAATATGGAAATGTTCAATGTTTGCTGGAACTTCATTGTTTATAAAGTGCATAATGAACGAGCACACCTCGTTTGGTCATTTTTTGCCCATACCTTCGTGATATACATAAAACATAGTTTTTCCAGATCTTAGGTCGTGATATTGAAGACATTGACCGTTAGTTGATGAAGGTAAAATGTGTCTTGGACCGGAATAACAGAAAGTGCAAGATTTTGCATGTAGTCCACGCAAATTGCTCCTACACTGGGATCTGTTTGGCATAACTCTACAATCGACTTCATCTTGCTGTAGAATTTTTTGGCTCTTCTTTGGTAAACTATTTTTTCCGCTACAGCTACACTTTTGGCAACATCGTTCAAGGCCTTAGATTTAATTTTGTTGGAAAGCTCCTCACAGGTGCAGCAGGTGTCGACCTGTGGTCTACCGAAAGACAAGCTGAAACGTTCCTTGAATGTCTTGCGGTAATAGCTATACTTTACAGATAATTCGGGATTGTTTATAAGAAACAATTCATGCATTTTTAAATATACAGATTCTCACTAAGGTAGTGATAGTCACGGCTACCGTAATGTGACCTTTTAACTGGACATGAACGAATATGCTCCTCTACATGCCTGACCACCTGTCCAGGTTTTGCATTCTCTGGGTTTTTTTTGCCTCTTCTATCATTAGGTGGCTTTCCCATTGATAATAACTTACTCAAGCGACGAACACGGTCTTCAGTGACTCCATGGATACTAAATAAAAGTTGTTTTGCATACACGGTGCTTTCCCGAAACTGGAACACACATAGTATTTGTATGATTTGCTTTTTGGCTTTGCATTATTATTATTATTATTATTATTATTAAACAACAAATTTGAGTTGAGTACTACTACTACTACTACTAAGTACTATAAACTCAAACACAAAAATAGATAATAGTGTACAGACAAAAGAAATATAACAATTTGATAATCTTAGCACTTCTGAAGTAGACATATACAGAATGGGAACAATATGTTAAGCACTGCGGTGTCTATCGTAATTGTTTTTGACACTGTTGACGGATTCCGAGTTCACTACATAAGATGGAAGACTGTTCCATGTATCGAAGACACGGTTTGAGATGAAGCGCTGACGAGTAGAGGTTCTAAAAGCTTCCTTCTGCAATTTGAAGTTGTGGCCTCTGAGACTGTTCGTTGCCAGACGAAACAGATGCGACATGTCCACACCAAACAAATTATGCAGTGCTCTGAAAGTGATGATGAGATCTCCTCGTACTCTTCTATCAGCAAAAGCAGGCAGGTTATATAGCTCGAGGCGGTCTTCATAACTTGGCCTACGTGTGCCATATGGCATACGTGTAGCACGACGCTGAACGGCCTCTAATAAGCTGCTATCGCGAACAAGGTTTGAATCCCATACCGGACCAGCAAACTCCAGTAGGGGTCGTACGAAAGTTGTGTACAAAAAGGAGGAGGTACTAATGGTGCAACCGCTAAATGACCTTTCCATCATATATAGCAATCGCTTTGCCTTAGAGGTTATGTTCTGAATGTGCTCCGACCAGGTGAGCCGGCCATTAACTGTCAGACCAAGATCTGTGTGATGAAGAACAGTCTCTAAGGTATGTTTGCCAATCTTATATGTTAAGTTAGGATTATTCTTTCCCAGGTGGAGAACGTAGCATTTCGATAGATTTAAAGGCAGGAGCCAGAGTTCTGACCACTTTCTGATCAGCTTGAGGTCTTCTTGAAGCACAGATGAGTTCATGACAGTGTTATAGACTTTAGTATCATCTGCATAGATGGAGCACATAGAATAAAGTCGGGTGGGAAGGTCGCTTGTATAAAGAAGAAAAAGTATTGGCCCTAGCACAGATCCTTGTGGAACTCCACTAGTAACACGATGACTAGAAGAATAGGCGTCTCCAACACGGACGGAGAAAGATCTGTCTAACAAAAAAGCTTCAATCCATAACAACAAATTTCCCCTGATTCCGAGATGTTCAAGCTTGTGCAGGAGCCTTTTATGCGGAACTCGATCGAAAGCTCTGGAAAAATCCAGAAAAACCACGTCGACCGGTTCATTTGCGTCTAAAGATCTGGTCCAATTGTCAATGCAGTGTAACATGTTGGTGATAATTGATCTACCAGGAATAAAACCATGTTGGTTGCTAGGCAGCAGGTTGTTCTTGAACGCAAATGTCATAAGTTGTTCCTGGACGATCTTTTCGGCTATTTTCGCAGCTATAGGCACAAGACTGATAGGACGGCAGTTTTTCGCAGATGTTTTATCTCCTTTTTTGTATATAGGTGTCACAGATGCAGTACGCCAACAGGAAGGAAGAATGTGATTTTGAATCGAGGAGTTGAATATAATGCACAGGGGGTATGCGAGAGCTGAGGCACAGGACTTCATAACGGCAGAGGTAATCCCATCCTTTCCAGGGGACGAACAAGTTTTCAGTTTAGTAAGGTGCCTCTCAATGTCCTGAGGTTGAAAATCTATGCTACAGATGGTCGCTAGGCATCTATGAGGGCTGGATAAGTTCGGAAGAGTACCATCACCATCAGGTTCATTCACAAAGTCTTCACTGAAGGCATCGGCAAGAAGATTGGCAGATTTTTCGGCATCAGTATGTAGGTGGCCATTGGGATCACGGATTTGTGGGGAAGAAACCTTAGAGTTCAGGGTGGATCTCAAGTATCTAAACAACTTCTTCTTATCTTTCGATGATACAAGATTTTGCTCATAATTGCGCTTGGCGTTTTTCAAGTTCTTCGAAAGGATGTTAGAGAAAGATCGATGAGATACATAATCCTGTTGTAGTCTACTTCTTTGGAATCTTTGCCATAACGCTTTTTTATGCCTCAACATCCTTGAGAGGTTATGGTTAATCCAAGGCTTTCTTGGGTGACTGAATATCTTCTTTGTGGTCGTATGCCTAGTGACTTCCAGTTGGATTCGACGAGAGAATATATCCCACATATCTTCAGTGCTACGTTGTGCAAGCAGGTTGGACCAGTTTATTTCAGACAATGCTCGATTGAGAGCACTGTAGTTTAATAGCTTCACAGTTTTGAAATGTCTACGTGATGGAGTTTGTACATAGAATTGAAGTGAGGTCAATAAGGTACAGTGATCCGACTTGCCAAAAGGAGGTAGGTAGTCTAGACTGGAAACAAAGTCAGGATCATTTACAAATATCAGGTCGAGAGATCTGGGAGTATGGAATTCTCTGAATCTCGTCGGATGATCTACGAGTTGGAGGATGTTCGACTTACGCATTAAATCAATATAAGGGGCAGAAGGAGAGTTGCATTCTGGTAATGTTGTCATGGGCCAGCTGATGTCACGTAAGTTGAAATCACCAGTTAACAGAATGTTTGAATTCTTGGTTAGAAGTTCTTCGATGAATTTACACAAATAAACATCACCAGCACAGGGACGCGGTCTGTAGATACAGGCTAATACAAAACTGAAGTTTGGCCGTGTTATTTCCAAAAAGAGACTGTCGATACCATCGAAGCTCTTGGAAGTAGTAGTTATTGTGAAATTGTCAGCAAATTCGGTACGTACATAAACACAGACCCCACAATACCCCGGCGTGCGAGGGGAATCTTCCCTATACAAACAGTAACCAGGCAAATTAACAACATAGTCAGGTATATTAGGGCTGAGCCAGGTTTCTGTCAGACAAAGAAACGAAGGTTTGGTTCCATCAACAAATGCTTGCACTTCGTGAAGTTTAGATACCAGTGACTGAATGTTTGTGTAGCACACCGACACCTCGGTTAGCAGTTTTTTGATACAGAAGATTGCTGTGCAACAATATTGTCAATGGATGGTCTACCCTTGACATATTTAATCGTGATATTGCGTTCTCCAGCCGTTAGCCTTCGTTTCAACTCCTCACGTAGTTGCTGCAGCTCATGCATTTGTGACGGTGTTTTGTCGTCCAAAATTTTAACGGAGTTATAGGTAGAGTGGCTTAAAATATCATTCTTCTTGCGTAGAATATTCTTAGCTATTATAGGCGATGCAAAGCCAACCTTTATCAACCGAGGACGAGATGTACCTACAGCACCAAGTCTGGTCATATTGAGGCGGTATCCATTAGCAGACGGTTCGATGTGGTTGATTATGTCTGTTACGGAATCAGAATCATTATTTTGGTCTACTCTAGGTCGTTTTGTGGAAATCTCTGAGCACTCTATTAGAGCCTGCATATATGCATCTTGTTCATTTTTCGTCTCTAGAGCATACAATCTATCAAAAATCTCTTGCCGCTCACCTTCGGGAATTTTATCAAAACAGCATGACCTACACCTAAAAGTGGAAAATAATATTTTGACCGACAAAACCAAAATGAATCGTATTTCTCTTACCGGCATGGTTCACCTATTGTCCGCTGATTTAATTTTATGCCTGTGTAATTCAGATATTCTTTACCTCTCACTCGTGCACCTTTAATCCCTTCATTTTTATATAAGTCAACGCCAAACAAAGTGGCGTGCACGTCATCACGATAAAAATTCCCCGACCTAATGCCTAGGTTTCTATCACAAACAATTGCCCTATTGCAGTTTCATATTAATGTGATATATAAATTGTAAAATGGTCATTACTCTCTTATTATGGTTAATAGTCATATAAACATTGTTATTAAAATATCACATAAGTTGCTTTCTGATAAATTTAGACGCATTATGCGAAATAAAATGTTTTGCAAACGCTCCAACCACTTATCGACATGTAAACGCGCTAAACCGATTTCGCAGCGTTGACACATTGTCACCTTGAAACTTATTTAAACTGGGAACTGACATTTGTATTAATTTTGACACTGAATCAATTTGTGGCATTTCAAATCTTTATAAATCCTTTGGCCCCGCATACTGCAAATCAACAGCTGTTTGTTTCAAAACAAAATTATTCATTTTACGAGTAGATAAAGGCAATTTTGGTATATAAAGATGCCCAAAAAGTTAAATAGTCGGTGTAAGGAACTCGTGGCCTCGTTAATGCACTACTTTGAGCAAGAAAGGGACAACAACGGGCCTTTGTTGCCTTTAAATGCTGTTCAAGAGGTAGGTTACTAATAATGATATGTAATGTATATTAATAATAGTGAAATTTTATTTCATTTTTTGTAGCGTGTTGCTGCTGCTTTAAAAATTAGTTTAAGGACAGTTAGTCGTATTTCCGAGGGTGTGAAAAGTGATGCAAATTTAGAATCGCCCAAGAAAAAGCGGAGTTATATTAAACGTGTAACCAACACAGCGACATTGGATACAAGTGCCATTCGAGAAGTGATCTATAATATGTATCACAAAAGTAAGATCTTATTATAATAACTTATCAGAAATTTGCATTAATTTGTTAACTAAATTATAATGTCATATTACACATGGTTTCAGAAGAACAAGTTACGATACAAACTTTATGGTCTCGATTAAGAGATAGGGCATTATTTGATGGTAGTGCCACGTCTTTAAGGCGGTTGCTTAGAGATCTTGGATTTAAGTGGCT